AAAAAGAAAAGTACCTCCTGGCTTCTTTAGACCTCAACCGTTAAATCAGATTTATCTTCTGTTTTTTTTTCAATAAATATTTACAGAGAAGCAACTGTGAGCCAGATAGCTGTGCTAGAGTGCATCCACAGGATTACTTCCTTTTTTCCTTACGTGATCCCCAGGAAGTCAGCGCGATTATTGTCCCCACTTTATAGATGAAAAACCTGAGGCACAGAAGATGAATCATACATTCAACTGCCACCAGGATTAAGATTTCCTGCTCTGCAGAGATTGGATGGAAGAGCCCTAAGAAGCAACAATCCCACTCTTACTCACCTGCAGATAATCATAGCTATCTTTTGTTGAGTGCTAAATAACTGGTTGAAATAACTATCAGAAAAAGTGGAAAATATTACCATCTCCATTTGATAGAGAAGGAAACTGAGGCACAGAGGCAAAGAATTTGGGGGGGGGGGGGGACAAGAATTTTGACCCCTGCTGCATAGCTAGTAAATGTCCTTGCTCTGAGTTCCACCCCTGCCAATCGGACTCTCCAGGTCCTTCAGCAGATTCTAGAGACAGCAAATGCCACATGTAAAGTGAAGACTGTCCCCAAAAGGAAAAATTAAGACAAGTCTGTCATTGTGCCCATGTCTTCTTTCTACCACTGAGACACCTCAGGCACTGACCACTGGGTGGACACACATCATTTATATCATTGTGCTATAAAATTACCAATTATAATCCCACAGGAAATGCATGGGAGCTAGGTTCTTGCTAGACAGAGGGCCTTGAAAGTAAATCTCTCCGAGGCACATCTATACCACAGACGGAGACTGCCGTTCACTAAGTCAGGTGAAAGAGAAGGATGTGTATGATGGAGGCCTGTTTCAAAGACAAGGATATGAACAGTCTGACATACCATATGGTTTCCTCCTGAGGTGAAACGCTTTCAGTAAGGTCCACAACACTGGGCAGAAGCAAGGCTGTTTCCGGAAGCCAGAGCTAGAGACTGAGGCTGTGTGCTTCTTCCCCCAGGTCTAGGTAGAGAACTCCCATTCTTGCTGGTCACAGTTCTTCCTCTCTTCAGTCAGGTAGTGTCCCTCCTCTCCTCTACTGGCTCCTCTCATTTATGCAACAATTTGGGGGGGGGGCACTTTTCTCCTGGGCAAGGTCTGTTCTGACAGGGTACCAGGCACACAGGTAGGATCTGGCAGTAAGCCAATCCCCTGAAGAAGTTTGTTGAGCTAAGAAGGACGCCAACTTCATTTTTGTAAGTGTTTTATGAGGCAAAACAGACTCAGAAGTGACATATCTCCAGCCTTATTCCAGCAAGGAGAGCACCTCTCATCTACTCATTGAATTTATAATAGTTTCCATTTGTGTAATAAATGAAACTTTATTTTGCTGTCAGTAAATGGTGAATGGTAGTTCCACTAATTCTGTATTTTGAACTTATTTAATTGTTCTCTATTCGGAGTCCTCACAGGACTTTGGTTGCACTTTGGTTAAATGTATCTATTACTTCCTCTAGTGACTAGTTGTGTATAGTGATCTCTGTGACACAAGGCCCGTGTTCCTCGGGTACAGAGATGAGAATACCCCCGATATTGACAACAGGTACAGAATAGAAGTCAATATGTGAATTTCCTACTTTCTGTATTGGCAATTTCAGTGTATTGCTGCATGACATATACTACTCTTGAATTTTTGTTTAATTTCTCATACTTTTATACCTTATTTCCAATTAGGTAGGATGCCTCTGGAGGTAAAAGGCTCTGTCTTATTTGTCCAGTTGCAAGATCTACCAATATGTTTCTTTTGAGTTCTAGCTGCATTAGGGATAGGTATAAATCCTTGCATAGGTAGAAAGCCAGTGTTCTCTTTCCTCTTAAGAATTGATATGATGCAATGATTAATAACCTGGACTTTGGAGCCAGGTTGTATAGATTTGAATCTCAGTTTAGCAATTTACATGCTTGTGACCTTGGGCAAATGATTTAACCTCTCCTTGCTTGATTATTTTCTTCTCTAAAATAAAAGTACCAACTCAGAGGGTTTTTGAAAGGAAGAAATGACATAATATATGTAAAAATAAGAATAACACTACCTGGCACATAAATGCTTGCTACTTTTATTATTGTTTACCTTATAGTACCAAACACACAAAAGACAAAAATGTTGCATTGTTCACCTATGAGCTAATTTCATCAATAGCAAAGTTTTCTGCTAATCACCTAAGCTCAAGTCAAGTTACAGAGTCTGTAACCCCAAAAAGAAGAATCCTGACCTTTGGCAAACGCTCGGGGTCGCCAGGGTGCCGAGGAATGACCTTCTGTAACCTCTGGAAACCATAATCGATGGTGGGTTCATTGAGCGCTGCAAGGAAGAAGTCACAGGATTAGAACAATTTCATTAAATAAAACAGAAACTAACACTGATGGCATGGAAACAACTAGAAGTCAGAAATTTAATTTATACTTTTGAATTACATCACAAGATGATCAGATGCACAATCCCCTTGCTGAACATTTTCACTGTCTACTTCTGCTATTTACCATGGTAGGCAGGGACTCACTCAAAAGAACATTGGTAGGAACCTTAGTAACGACTCCTGAACTCAGTTCTTCTGGCCAAATTCTATATTGCTTACATAATCAAAAATAGAAAGTAAAATGGTATTGATATGAAGTTTTAGGATCCACTAGCTAAAAGCTCAGGGCAAAATAAATACTCAAGGCCTTGTCTGAAGGTATCCACACATTATAAACAGCAGAATTACAAGTACTTGCTTAACTGAAAAATCTGTAGTAGATCTCAGCACACCACACAAGCCGATGCCTCTGTGGTGATTAAGCCTGCAAGAACGTGGTGAGGGGCAGGGAGATGAGATCTTCTCAGCATAGAAAACCTAGTCTCCACTTGATAGAGTCTGCAAGGTGATAGGTGTTGAAAATGTCCTCGATACAACACCCTCACATCTAAAATGACAGACTCATTCACTAACATCAGTATTATTTCAGGAAAAAGACTAGCCTCTGTGGAGCACTAGCATAGAGCATATGGGTCTCCAAGAAAAATTCTTAAAAAGACTAAAAGAAGAACAAACCTATAATAATATTTGGAGACAATGGGCCTTATTGTACTCATATTGTCTACACTCTTCAAAGCCTCCTTAAATTAAGTGTGATACGAAGTAGACTCTGGTCTATAATTTTCAAAATTCCTTCTCAAGGTATGAAATATCTTCAGCCTTCCTCACCTTACCAGGAAAAGATGGCAGCTCAGTCCTCTACCCACATCCCCCGTATCCTCTAAGTAATGGGTGGGTGGGAGGGTGGGTGTTTTTCTTCTTTTCTTTTTTAGTGTAACTAACGTTTTCAACCACGTATTTTCTCCCACACCGAGTAAAAAGACAGTCTTTGTAGTTCTGACATTTAGCTATACATTAGAAAACAAGTTGCCACATGCTTTACTTAAAATGCATTTCCATTAACCTAAATTTCAAAAGTAAGATTCATACTACTACTAACTTTAAAAAACTGTATTAAATTCAAATAGGTCCCAAGGCTAATGGAAGCAATTTGTATACCAACCCAAACTGACTGGCCCACTTTTCAAAATACAGGTATGATAATCTTGTGGTTTTAAAAGGACATTTAAATTGAAAGACTGTGAATTTAGTACATAATTATACCAATAGAACCCTTTAACTTGTCAACTTGTAAATCTAAAAGGCTATCAATCATTTCTAAAGAGGAAATAAACCTTAAAATTCCTTGATTGACAGTGCTTACTTTTTATGTAGGGAAAAAAAAAGGCAAAAAAAAAAAGGCAAAAAAAAAAAAAAAAAAAAAAAAAAAAAAAAAAAAAAAAGCTGCGTAAAGTGGCCAGAAATCCATTTACAAAAGTACATTGTTTTACATAGGTGAGTAAAAAGCCAATAATTACACCTCCAAAAGACACATAAATCAGAGTAAGTACTTTTTCCTCACTTGTATATTTTAAGTTGGAGTGAACTTCGGGTAACTTTTTATTGAAAAGATTTTCCCAAATGCAATGCTTATTGAAGTTGTTAATAGAGTAGCATTTTCATTTAAGACAATGTAATCATTTTTACAAATATGAGATTTAGCCATCTTCTCCCCCTTTCCCCAGCTTCCAAACAGTAAACTTTCAACCTGTCTCTTGTGGAAATTAACTAAAATTATACCCAGGTGTACCAAATCTTTCTATCTATACTAGTATATGAGTTAAGGCACAATATTTATTATTCCTCCCATTTTATGAATTACTTTCTAAACCCTTGAGAAGAATTCTTTTTTCAAATTAGACATGTAGAGGAAAAAGCCATAGAACTCTTCATGCAGGGAAGCTGTTACTCGTAAAATCCATGGTATTTAATCAAGAAATGCATGAGAGGGACAGGAATGAGCACCTAGGTTTAAGACATATGTCACATCCATCCTCCACCCATATTACTAATTGCCATCCAAGATGTTTAACCATAAAAATAGCTTTAAACAATTAAGTGTATCATTTTAATATCTGAATTCTAATTCTTGTTTTTGTTTTTCAGGCTAAGCCACCAATAAAACTTGAATTGTTGACCTGTTCCTGCAGTTGTTTGCATAATGAATTGATTCCTACCGTGTCAAGAAACGGGTGATTGTTAAATGAATGAATGTCTGACATTATGAGGGGAGGATGTGTTTCTCTGTCCATACAGCCAACTCACAGCAGAATGACCAACACTTAGTATCTGCAGTTAAAAGAGCCAATTCAAATATCATATGGAACTAACAGCTAAAGAGCTGAGGAGAAGTCATTCTGCTGCCACAAAACGTAATTAAGATATATTAAACTCATTATTCAAGGGAAATAAGCATCTACTCTATGGAAGTATACTATGTGAAGGGATGTATTTCAGATAGTTAGATAAAGGCTTTTAATTTATTTCCCATGCCTTTATGACTTGCTCTACACTCACATGTTTCAATATATTAACCTGCCCTTAATTTAGGTATAGACCATTACAAGGCGTGGTCCAGTGCTATAGACAAAGACAGCGTTAAAAATATGCAAGACAAAGCTCATTGTCTTAGATTCAAATGTGCCTGATGAGTTCTCTCATTGCATTGACTAGAGAAAAATAAAAAAAAGGATTACTGAATGAGAAGGGTCATCTGATAAAGATTGTTACTTAAAACAAAACAAAGCAAAACCCCCTAAAAACAGATTAAGTGGCTAGGGAGGAGGATGGTAAAATCATGGCATACCCATGGGATGGAATATGATGCAGTCCTCAAAAGCAATGCTACAAGGAAAAAAAATTATTTACTGACATATAATATACGGCTAGGTTAACAAGCAGATTACAGGAGCATATATACAATATGGTTACTTTTTAAAAAATGAACATACACAGAATAAAGAAAATATGTCTATATATAAACTGCTTAACAGTAGTTATTTCCAAAAAGTGGGTCTTAAAGTGCTTTTCTTCCTTCTCTTTGTGCTGTACATTCTCTGAATTTCCCACAATGAACACATATTACTTTTATAATCAGAGAAAAAGGTTAAGAGCAAGAGATTGTTGCCGAGATGGAATGTGACCTCCTTGTATAAAGTAATGACATAAGAAACTATGCCTTAAAAGGGGTCTGTATACCCTTTAATAACCTTGCATAGGTTATTACAGACTATAAGAAAAATAAGTAGTATACTTTTGGCCAGTTGTATAAATATGTGACTATTCATAAACTCTCTGAAAATCAACAGAGAGGGTAACGAGGAGGAATCATAAAGAATGGTATATTTATTTCATCAGTGGGGGTAGTCGTACCTTAGGGACATACGTCTACTCTGCAAGAATGTAATATAAAGTTAATCCTTCAACAAAGTGACCTCATTGTATTCAAGCACAGGGCTCAGGGGGCACCAGTAGAAATGGGACTAATCAATTTTCCCCCTAAAACTTAGGACAATTCTGAGAATCTAGTAGAGAAAGAAAGAAAAACTTAATTGGGCATAATTAACCACAAATAAAGAAGCATGAGCATCTTAGGTTGAAAAAAGAAAAACAGATGAAGCTATAAATGGCAACAGGAAGGCAAGGATGAGAGAGCATTTTGTGACTCCGCTTCCAAATACCTAGTCCATGTTCTCTGAAAAGGGCTTCGGAGGGTGTCATCTGAAACCAGGCAGGGACAGTAGCAGAATAAGGGAGGCTCAGAGGTCTAGAAAAACCTGTAATCCCAAATTGAAAAAGCCCCAATTTTTAAATCATCACAGTAGAATAGGAACAATGTAGGCATCTGAAAAATTCCACATTATAGGAAATTCTCCATTGACTCAATCATCATTTTTAGTGCCCACCATGCATCCAGATGGCATTTGTAGGAATTAACTGTTTTGTGTCACAAAACCAAAAGCCCTTAAAAACAAACTTTCTGAAAGAAATATGTCATCCAGCCCCAAAAGACTGATGAACTGGTTGGCATTTCAGGGGCATCAAAGTCATTACTTTTCAAAGAGTAAAAGTTAATTAAATAGTTAAAAAAAAAAAAATCAAACCCCTACATCTGGCCTTGTGTTGGAACTGTTTATAAATGGCTGTGGGGGCTGGCTTTCCCGGTCTCACAATCTCAAACTCCCCCAGAGGAAATCAGTAACTTTCTATGCAGAACCAATCTAAGCAGAGCCCTTCTTTGGGCTTCAACTGAGGTCCTGGTCAAGACAGAACAGCTCTGATAATACAAAACTATTATTTACAGTGTCCAAGTGTTCATGCAGCATGAAATGCTATATGCAAAGAACATTTAAAATAATGCAATTAGATTTTATGCACGAATACTAATGACAAGATTACAAAATCCAGGGGCACCTGGGTGACTCAGGTGAACATCCATCTCTTGATTTTGGCTCAGGTCATGATTCCAGGGTCGTGGGACTGAGCCCTGTGTTGGGCTCTGCACTCATCAGGGAGTCTGCTTGGGGTTCTCTCTCTCTCTCTCTCTCCCTTTCTCCCTCTGCCCCCTCTCCCACTGATGTGCATATGCTCCCACACGTGCATATGCTCTCTCAAAAAAAAAAAAAATTACAAAATCCATTCAAAACATCTGTAATGAGTAAATTGTAACTAAATGCCATTTGTGGCCTTTTCATGCCTTTAGTCTTTTTTTTAAATCCACTTCACACACATCAAGTAAGGAAATTCTCTCTAAGGGGATTTATTTGCAAATTAAAATTTTATAGTCAGGAAGGATGCATTCTCAGTTATGAAAACTGACTTTTCTCTTTTCAGAGTTTCTTTTTAGAGAAATCACTCCTCTGTCCTTCTGAACTTCTCGAATACTTAATTCCTGGAAACAATGGAA